AAGCCTCTTTTTTTGGTGTCCCAATCGAAGACCCCGAAATCCAACGCAAAAAAAAGGCGGCGTGCTGTTTTCTCGGCCCCTGACCCCCAAAAAAAAAAGAGACAAAAACATGGCACACCCCCACCAGTTACCTGAAACCATTCGAGGTTGAGGGGGTCCTGGTTTGGACAATTGTCCTTTGAAAGGGACCGGGTCCCTGTCAGGTTCCATGTTAATTGGTGGGACGGCATGAAGTAGTTAAACGAGTTGGTGCTTAAACAAGCTATATGGTCAGTTGGTTTTTGTTCATCATCGATGTCATCAATATACTTGATTTCATCGCTTTTTCGAAGGGTTGGCTGGCTGGTGTGCTGTTTCATTGAAAAGTTGTTGTGTTCATAGGTGACGCTTTAAGAAAATGGGTGTCCCATTCCAAAAACCCGAGTGGTTGGTTGTTCCAAGATGGTTTCCCTGGTGCACCCAAACCCGGGGTTGCTACGAAAAAGGCCCCTTGCATAAAGGGTATGGTATATACCTCAACTTACCCTGGCAGGAGTTTTGTTGTGCTGTTTGTTGAGGATGTTGTGTTCGTAGGTGACCTTTTCAGGAACTGTTGTTTGGTTCCCCATGGAATGAAACCAATCTAAACCAGTGAAACACATCTATGTCTAAGCAAAAAAAAACTTCGACAAACAGCTATGGTTTGTGTTGCTTTGCCTGTCTTGTGTTGTTTCCTCCTGCCATGTCCCTAACCAGAACTCCTGCTAGCGCTGAAAGGCTCCCTGTTAGGCAAATTTGGAGACCCCCCCCAATACCGGAACCTTCCAACCACCAGCTAGGTTCACCGTTTGGTGGGTAGCCTTGGTGGGTAGCCTCTTCGCCTTGATCTCGAGCCCTTGGGTGCATCCAAGCCAGCTAGTTTCCCTCACCTCTCTCTCTTGCCAAAAGTGAAACCTGGGGTGGATGAACAGGCGGGGGGCACAAGATCTGGAAATCCAGAGTTGGAATGCGAAGTGGTACTGAGAAAGGCTTGCAAAATCGAGAAACTAACATGGGATCACGCCAGCTGCGAGAAAACGGGTGGAAAAGCCGAAATCCAGACAGCCCCATGTGGCTTTGGGTCGAGAATAGGTATCCCCAAATGGCTTGCCCTGACACATGGAACCAAAAGACTAAACCCTGCGGTCCGGTGGTTTAAGTTTGACCCCACCAATCAACCCCAGTTTATTTCATAGTGGGGTGTTCCCATCCCAAAGTGGTCTGATTCCCCACGTCTCACCCAGATTAAAAAAAGCGCACCCCCCTATTAATAAACAGGGGCCGAGAAAAATACGGGGTCAACCTGAAGTTCGACCCACGCCCCACGTGACTCCTGACCTTTCAGCTTGCCCCAAGGCCGGCGGTTCTGTGGCCCCGGGCTCCGGCAAGGGCTCCCCGCAGCAGCGGAGCGCCCAGACCCCCAGCTGCTGCGCGCGCCTGGCCAGGCGCAGCTCCTGGAAAGACGGGATGCGGCTGACCCCTTCGCGTCATGATTGGTCATAAATCTGTACTTTGCTCTGTATTGGCAGGTTTGTTCTGTACTTTGTTCTTGCTATGGGCTTTGACCCCTCTGCAAAAAGTTGTTCATTTTTTGTGGGTTTAATGTTGGGAAACCCCTTGAAGTCCCAAAAAGTGAAAGTTTAAAGATCCGGTGCCCAATAGCAATCAAACGGAAAGACTGGATGGTTCGCCTCTGGTTGAATGAGGAGCGTGTTTATAGCAAGAATCCAGGGTCCACAGTATTGTTTTTGTTTTTCCTCCTTTCGTCGGATTCAACGTGGGACGCCAAACCAGGCAACACGTATTTTGGGGGGCCATATAGTTGGGGCTACCGTGATATTTTTCCCTGAAGCGCGACTTGCATCTGCAGCTTCCCTGATCAAGTTGTCAGATTGATGGCTTTCACTTGGCTCGGACATGTGCCTCGAAGGGCAACTCTATGCCACCAACTTGTAGGGCACCCCCCCGCCCCGCTTGCCCCCAAACGGACTTCCCAAGTAATTATGAAACCCCAAAAACTAAAGGCAAACACCAATACTGTGGACCCTGGATTGGTCAACTAGGTGGTGTTTCCTCAAAAAGGGACACCCTCCTCAATCAATCTCAAGCTTATTCATCCCGTCTTTCAATGTCAATTATATTGAGTATGGTGGCGTCCCTCCTCATTTGTCCATGTGTCAAAATCCTGTACCCCCAGTGAACATCCCAATCCCCACTAGAATAGTTCTAAAATGGGTGGTGAATTCACAAACCAACCAAAATGGGATCCCAAAACGGTTTTGACTTCCACAGCCAGAACCATGGCAAATGGAACCAAAGACTAAACCCTGCGGTCCCCTGGTGGTTTTATTTTGACCCATACCCGTATTAGCCTCCCTCCTCATTTGTCAACAGCTTTTCCAAAACCCTGACGCGCTAACGCGCCAACGCAACGTCCTCGGGCACCTGCGTGCGCACGGCATTTGCGCCGCGCGGGCTATGCCTGGGCTGCCATGAGAAAACCCGATCCCTGGTCAGACGGGGTATGCCGCAAAAATCGGAACCCTACTGTGGGTGGTTGCGAAATCCATTTCGCACCACGTTGAAACCATGGGAAACCATTGCTTGCTTTGGTATTTACAGGGGAAGGGAACCCTACTACTGAACGGATATGCCCATTCACCCTTGAGAACCAGAGCTTCCTTCTCCCCAAACCGCCAAGAACGACCCAAGGGATGGCCGGAAGCCTGGAGCTGCAGGAGTTCTGGATGCACATGGACATGCGTCAAAATCCAAATCGTACCCCCAGTGAAAAGCCCAACCCCCACTAAAATAGACTACAATGGGTAGTGCACCTACCCCAAAATGGTACCATTGGTTTTGACCCACAGCCACATGGACCCTTTCTGGTTTGGGATTGGGGTCATGCTGTGGGTTGCGACATCCGCTTCTCGCACCACTTTGAAACCATGAAAAAGAGCACTGCTTTCTTTGGGGGAAGCATCAGAATCCAGGTGTTTTAGGCGGTGCAGGAATTCGCCCATCCACAGTACCAATGGTCCACATGGCTAAATTGAAAGACCAGGCAAGTGGCTAAACAACTGGAAAAACCGATGCTTGGTTTCTGTTGACCCCTCTGCACAAAGTTGTTCACTCTTTGTGGGTTTAGTACGGAAAACCCGTTGATTTCAACCAAAAAGTTAAAGTCTAAAGATCCAACCCAATAGCAACCAAAGATGTCAGGGAGGAAACCAAAGTCCCCCAAAGGCAACCCCTACGAAAGGCTTAGAGGAGCCTTCCTAGGGACTGTACTGATTGAGTGGTCAGAAAACTAGATGAATCGGAAGTTCTATCCCGAGTGTGCAGACCAACCTTCGTTGACAAAACACTTCTGGGGCAGAGGAACTGCAGCAAGCCCTCTGTCAAATTCATCCGCTTGCAAAGGTCAGCACGAATTCGGTGCCGAAGTCATCCAATTTCCCTGAGGTGAGGTCGCCCGAGCTTCCACTTGTCCCCCGAAAACGTCCTGAAGAAAACCGAGGGAAGGCGTGGAATTCAAGCTTCGGGACCCCTTCGCTGAGCTAAGACTTCGCACTTCTCGGCCCTAAACTGAAGAAACTTGGTGGAACAATATAGGTGTCTTAATTAAAATGGGGGACCCCAAAATGGTTTCGGTCTTCCTTTTGGTTTCCATTTAAAGCCCCTTTGGAGGCGTATCCCTTCAACCAAAAAACAAAAAAGAGACCCCCATTAATCATGTGTTGAAGCTGAACAGGAGAATTTCGAGCTTGCCCCAGCCCCAGGATGCATCAAACATGTTCCATATCTTCAGGTTCGGTCCCATACAATCATCTCGGAGACCACTGCAAGAAGTCAATCACATCACCCCCACTCCAACAACCGGTGTGTGTGTGTCTTTTTCTTTAACGGATATGATGTCAACCGCTTGCCGAACAAAAAAAGAAGAACAAAAAAACAAGGAGGTGGGCAGGCAAGTTGTCCAAGGGGCTAATAGCGTCAAGTCCCTCAAACAAGTCACAATCGAAGCCTGGCAGGGAAAGGGTCTACCCAAAGCCATGTGGGAATCACAAGGGCGGATACAGTATCTGGGGGGTACTTCTGGTTTGTCCTTTGCGGGGTACGTTAAACCCAAATATGGTCACGATCATAAGAGAATGATGTCTGGGAAACCAACCGAAAAGGCTCTAGGGGTACCTTCCCCATTCTTTCCGGGGATCCTTCTTTGCACGAAACCATCAAAAACCCAGGGGAAACAGCCGGTTTTGGAAAATAACGATGGTTGAAAAGAATGTGCGGTTTTGGGCGAACACGAAGTAGCCCAGGGAAGCAAATGAGCACAAAGAAGATCACGATGTACCCAAAGCACCCGGAAACACAACTCGGGTGAAGCTGTGGATGATGACCGGGTTGAGGATGTGACGGTTAGCAAAGAGAAGTTTGGGGAAGTTGGGAATCAAGTTGAAGAAGTATAAGTACTCAACCAAGCCCAGCAAACCCTGCCGCACCACCGGATACCTCCCACAACCAGCTGCCCCCAGCACCGAGACCTTTTCCCGATGATGTGGGCGGCTGCCGTTGTATGGCGTCCGCACGTGGTGCCAGAGTTAAACTGACGGGGGGTTGAAAACTTGAGCCAAACGGCCATTCGGCCGTTTTGCCATATGAAGAAACAACACGTGAACAAAACACACCCCCCTCATCCGATATCTGGACGAGAGAAAAGGATGCGAGACAGTTGAGTTCACGACGAAAGGGACCAACCAAAAATGCCGGTGTCAACTCAGAGGTGAGCCAAACGGCAGCACCCGGGCCCCAGTTAAAATCCCGCCACCACCCCGAATTAGCGGGGCGACAGGATTATTTGACGAGTGGGCCACATGAGTGAACAAGGACATATTGGAGGAACCAGACGAAGATTCCTCTCGTGCCGTTCATGCATTGTCATGGGACAACAACATGCGGAGGGGGACCCTATCTGGATCACCGCGCCTCACTGCACGCCGTGATGTGGTTGGAGGAGTAATCGAGTTGGGAGGAAAAAGGAAAAGGACGTTCCGAAATTGGTGTGAAAAATATCCGGCTACGGCCGGCCCGGCACTTCTAGTGCGGTCACAGCCTCACACAGGATCGCCAGGGGAACCGTCTCCAGCGCGCACGGCAGCGGTGCGGGAGGGACACGAACAACGCCGGATCAGCGGTACAGGGCAATGGAGACCATCACCCCCAGCAGTGCCGCATGGGCGAGAGGAGGATCGGCGCGGTCGCGTTTTTCGGCGACACACGTGCCATCCTCGCCCTTCTAAGGCGGATGCTGATTGCGGTACCTGCCTACCACCCTGAACCGGGTTCTTCCCGGTCTCTGGGCGCGTCGTCTCTCCGGCGTCCACCGCGGTCACCTCGATCGCCTCCTCCATCCCGACGGCGATCCTCACCACCACCCCTACTGTGGTCTCCAGCCGGAGGTCGGCGAGGCGGAGGGGGATCTGATTGGTGACGTCGGTCATCCCTGCGCCGGTCCCGGTGGCGATCGCGACGGTCATCAGCCGGGTCATCACGTCCGCGGCGCTCATCTCGCCCCGGACCGCGCCTCTCGGAGGGCTCCTCATGACGTGGAGGAGGTCGGCGATCATCGCGTCGGCCTCCGCGGGTATCCCTGCCACGATCATCCCTTTGTCGGGGCGGGCCAGGATCCTCGCGTCCACCTTTGCCAGGTCGATGTTTTCCTCGACCCTTCCCCTCACCCTTAGGGCCGCGACGATCCTCGCGGGCCCCAAGCGCGGTCCTTGATCGATCGTCATCTCGGTGGGGCCGTGACTCATTGGCCGCACGAGTGGTCCGAGGCACGCCTGGGGGAAGCTCCCATTCTTCATCGTCGTCATCGCGCGGGTCATAGCCGCCACGGCCGCCCAAGGAACCAGTGGCATCCCGTGGTGGGGACGCGGGAGTTCCGGGACCGCCCGATCGAAGACGAACCCGGGGAGTCGCGTCCTCGCCAGTAAAGGGATCCTTCTGGGTGTAGAAGCCCTTGGTTCTGCCCCTTCTCTCCCCCCCTTCCGCACCGCTTCTCGCGGGGACCGGGGATGGACGGGCAGGCTGGGCCATGCTCTTAGAGCTGGGTTGCCCGCCAGGCGGGACATGAACGCCCCCCTGCCCTTTCTCGGGCGCAGGGACCCGACCACGAGATGTCCTCCTGGCCTTGGGTTGATCGGTGTCACCCTCCAGCTCGGATTCGGTGTCAGGGACACGAGTATTGACGGCCATGTCCTCTTCCTCGAACGGATCCCCAGCCGTCGTAACGCCTGCAGCAATGGGAGCGGGGGGAGGAGGAGGAGGAGTTGGCACAGCTTCGCCAGAACCGACGCCTGTGTGTAACACCACGGGAGTCTCCGGTTCTACCGGGACTGGCGGCGCAGGAGGAGCCGGGGGCGGTGGCGGAGGGGGAGGGATTTCCTCCTCGTCGTCGCCCATGGGCTCGTCAAGGTCGTCAGGCTTGTCTTCATCTTTGTGTGAAGATCCATCCGAGCCTAGCTCATCCTCCGCCGATCCAGCAAAGTCGGGCTCGTCTTCGTCTTTCACGCCGGGGCCTGGTGTAAGGCGAATTCCGGGCCGATGGCGATCGCGGGGTCGGAAGCGGTATTTCCTTGGTACAGGATCGGCCAGCTCCTGTTTGATGTCGTCCTGGGTCTGCGGACGGTCGGCCAGGCATGTGTCGTAGGCAACGGTGGACGTCCGGTAGATCAGATCATCCATACTGCTGAGGTCATTGAGCGTGTAGACGTATCCCTTCTTAATGCCTTCCCGTATCGTGTCCATAGCTTGTTTGAGACGCGCGGCGGGATCGAATCCGGCCTTCCTCCGCATGGCTTGCATTATCCCACAGTGTTGTGCGAGCAGCCCCACCTGGGCCTTGAACCCCTCCCCGGTCACATCGTTGGGGAGTATCGGAGAAAGGTGCCCTGATCTCAGCCCAATGATATGGGCCTCAACAATGTAGTAGGACGTGTAAAAGCCGCAGCGGTTGGCGTTGAAGTTTGCGGTGGTTAGGCGTCTGCCCCACTCAGCCGCATATCCCTCATATTCTTCGAAGAAGTCGGGGACGGAGCACCCGTTGAAGGCAAGACCCCTTACCAAGATCGCCTTTGCGACCCACTCTTCCACGTTGTGGTCGACAGTGTCACGGTACTTGCCGTCAAGAACTTCGTCTCGGAGCGAGTCGTGAAGTTTCCGGAAAATGCCATCCACGTCCTCTTTGTCGAGGTACTTAGGAGGCCGCATCCCAGACATCAACAAGGACCGGGCATCAACGGCGGGACTCTGTGAGTAGAGGGCCATTCCGATGGCGTTGGCGTCTGCGTTGTTCCACAGAGCGGGGACGACGCCCTCGTATTTTGCCAGCCAGGGAGGAATCACCCCGTCGGTGCTCGCTATCGTGCGAGGGCCGCCGTTCGTGTCTCCGGTGGGCAGGACGCCCTCGTAGAAGAT